AGGAGCTCCACAAGGAGTGCAACAGAACAAAAAAATTTTGAGCTCAGAGGTCTTTTCTGATACTGATACTCCAACCACAGACCGTTCATGGAGATAATCTAGAACCCCTGCACGTATGTAGCCCATGGCAACTCAGTCTCCAAGTGAGTACTCTAGTAAGGGGAACATGAACTGTCTCTGACATGAACTCATTGGCTTCTCTTTGATTACCTCCTCTTAGGGAATGAGGCAGCCTTATCAGACCACAAAGGAAGACAAAGCAGACAGTCCTGATGAGACCTGATAGGGTAGAATCAGATGTAAGGGAGGAGGACCTCCCTTATTAGTGGACTTGGGCAGTGAGAGGGGAGGAGAAGAGGGAGAGAAGGCAGGATTGGGAGGTGATGAGAAAGGGAGGTACAGCTGGGATACAATGTGAAGAAATTGTAATAAATTAAAAATAAAATAAAAAAAATCTCAATTTCTTTAGTCATCAGGAATATGGAAATCAAAACAACTCTGGGATTCCATCTTTCATCTATCAGAATTGGTAAGATCTAAAATTCAATTGACAGCATATGCCAGTGAGGATATGGAGAAAGGGGAACACTCCACCATTGCTAGTGGGAGTGCAAACTTGCACAACCAATTTGAAAATCAATATGATGCTTTCTCAGAAAATTGAGACTAGCACTACCTCAAGACCCAGCTATGCTTTCTGGGCATAAACCCAAAAGATGCTTTACCGTACAAAAAGGACATTTGTTCACCTATGTTCATACTAGCTTTATTTGTAATAGTCAGAATCCGTAAACAACCTATATGTCCCTCAACTGAAGAATGCATAAAGAAATTGTGGTACATTTACACAATAGAATGGCGTGGAGCTATTAAATCCAAAGACATCATGAACTTTGCAAGCAAATGGATGGAACTAGAAAAGATCAGCCTGAGTGTGGTAACACAGAACAAGAAAGACACACATTGTACATACTCACTTATAAGTGGATGTTAGCCATGTAATACAGGATAACCCTACTAAAATCAATAGATCTAAAGAAGCTAAAAAACAGCGAGGACCCAAGGTAGTGTGCTTACTTTACATTCAGAATGACAAATAGACAGTGAACACAGCTGAAGAGAGGTAACAGGTAAGGAGCCTACCATATATGTTTTCAGGAAGACTCCTCCCAGGAGGGGATCGAAGCCAATGCTGAGACTCATATCCAAACTTTGGGCAGTGAGTCTTATGGAACACTGAGGGGAAAGGAGGACCTGGAAGGACAAAAAGCTCCACAAGGAGACCAACAAAGTCAACAAATCTGGGCCCAGGGTTCCATGAAGTGACTGATTCACCACCAACCAAGGACCATGCATGGAGAGAACATAGATGCACTTCTCAGATGGAGCCAATAGGCAACGCAGTCTTCATATGGGTACCCTAATAAGTAGTAAGGGGAACAGGAGTTATCTTTGACACTGACTCTGTTGCCCTCTCTTTGATCAGTTCTGCCTAGTGTATATGACTTTCCAGGTTACATAGGAATAGGATTCAGGCATTCCTGATGAGATTTGATAGGTTAAGGTCAGATGGTGGTGGGGGGAATGCCCCCCTTTTTTGGTGTAGGGGAGGAAGAAATAGGATTAAGAGAGTGAGGGTGGACCTGGAGCAGGTAAGAGAGGGGGCTACAGTCAGGAAATAAAGTGAATAAAATTTAAAAATATAGTAAAAAACAAAGCCACAAATATAAAATTAAAAAAGAATTTAATTAAAGACTTTCACAGACCCATAGATAGAGACATACATGAGTGCCCTACTTTTGTCTCATTTAAGTTCTAATGTTTGACTGATACAGATTATCAAGAGACCCAGGATAATTTTGTATCCATCCTTTAGAAAAAAATAACAGCTTGGAAATTCACAAGTTGGTGTGTGTCTTTACATGGTATTGTAAATATAAGGAAGCCTGAAGTTGAAACTGAGTCTCAAGTGACAACGAATCTCCTTCTTTCTTGAATCTATGTTTCATTAGAAGTGGTAAAAAGGGACAGATCTGAAACTTTGAGTTTTAAGAACAGAGAAAGATTTGATGACCTATATGACATTAACAAAACACATGATATATGAATGTGAAATTTTCATTTTTTTCTCTAAACCTCTAAATCACTGGTTCTCAACCTTACTAATGCTGCAACACTTTAATATTGCTCCATATGTTGTGGTGACTTCCTGCCATAAAATTTTTCTTTGCTAAGTCATAACTGTAATTTTGATACTCATATGAACCATAATGCAAATATGTGATATGCAGGATATCTGATATGCAATTCCTGCGGGAGTCATGACCCACAGGTTGAGAACTGGTGCTCTAAATGAAGTCAAGTTATAGCAAAAAAAAATATGTACATCATTTAACAATACTATATGTTTATGTATTAAATTGTGCCCTGCTTAAAATTTCTGTCCTGGAGCACTAACTCCTTTGATGACAGAATGTGGAGAAAAGATCACAAGTTAAATAAGGTCAGAGATAGAGGTAAGAATTATGTCCTTGTAAGAGATATGGTGGCATTTAAAAAGTTATAGTTTTTCTTTTAATTTACCATTTTATATTTTTAATCTTCAACAGATTAATATAATAAGGTGAACTCACTAAAAAAGGTAAATTTCAGATACATTTATTAAAAATGACATTTATATAACTTAATGGAATATTCACTTGGCTTGAGAGAAGATTTAAATACTCAGCTCCATGGCACTTGTGATTGTTATTTGCCTAATATGCAGGAGTGTTGACATTAACATGTGTTATTTTTGTTTTGACATTTTATGATGTGAGCATTGCATATATGGAAGAATGATTTTGATATTAAAGCCAACCCACTGAGATTTATTTTCTCTTTTTCAGCAAATACATGCCAGTCAGGATATGTTGACTGTGATAAAAAGTACTTAACATTTAGAAAGTGGCAACATTGTTAATAAAATTGGGCCATTAATCCAGGATATGTGCATATATCTTAGCATAGAAATGAATGTATGAAATCAAAATGCTGTTATAAATATAAATGCTATTTACTATTCTTCTTAAGTTTATAACTCAGTGGGTAGGGACTTTTGCATAAGTAAGATATCTACTTATTTAGTGATTACATGAGTTATGTTTAGAGATTATGTTAGAATTCTAAAGACCTTACTGTTCAAAGATTATATTTAGAATTTATTAAATCATTATATTTTCTTTTATTTTGAAATAATCATTGAATGTAAAATGCTCAAGCAGTAATCCTGTTCAAAGTTTAACCAAGTGTGCCATTAAAGGCATTTGTCTATAAAAGGACAAAGTAGACATAAAATCTCTTGGTGAGATATAACATAATAACTATGTAGTCATAAAGTTAGTCCTTAAGAAATATTCAAAATGAAAGATAATTGTCAAAAAGTACATTAATCATCCTCAACTTTTATAGAGCTCTATTTTATAGTGCTGAACAATAGGTTACTTATAAATAACATGTTATCTTCATTCTTGAGAGGCTCATGTTTAATTGGTCCCTGTTTCATTGGGCTATGAGTAGCCTTTATTATAAATGAAAACTTGCTTCTGAAATATTGCATAGCATTGCTTTAGTCACAGGAAGTATTCTAATTTCTGCATATGACCCTGAATTGTCTTTTGTTATACTCTGTTTTAAACTATTTCACAACATTTCAACTTAATAGGAATATATACTGGAATTCTTATTTAGGATTTATGCTGGACCTCCATGCTAATGAGTAGAGCTAAAAAATAATAAAGAATTTTAACACTGTGTTAATGTAAATATGATAACAGTTTGTAAAAGTCATATTTATGAGGTAAGACTTGACTGAAAAATCAAACAATGGATGTTGAATTTTTGTGTCCTGTCTTAGTGTATACTAGTCCAGAACGTTATAGAATTGAAGAACTCTAGAACTGTTTCACTACTTCATTCTTACAAGTTCCCTTCCTTTTATTTCTGTTATTATTCATTAGTAAACATGTCAGGGTTTTATGTTTCAGTACCATCTTTTGCATCTTTTCTTTTTATTCTTTTCCTCACTTCTCTGTAACCACAGGCCTAAACAGAAGAAAGTGTATCCTGCATTGAGCACTAGTTGTAGACATCTGTGTTAATGCTGTAAGCTTAATGCTGCTCTGTGCTCATTAAATGAGTTATACCCAAATACCCAAACATCCACTAAAAAACAACTTTCAACATAGTTTACTGGATTTTTGCTGGTGGTTCTATTGATGACAAATTATTTTTGAAATTTGACAGTGTTGAAATAGTGTGAGTATGTATGAACATCTTGAATGTGGTAACTTACATATTTATGCATAAATATTTGCGTAATTAAAAATTCATCATATATAGGGCTTCATTTATATTATCAGAAGTTTACACAATAAACTATTCCACAGCTTTCAATATGCCGTTTGTAATAATTTAGTTCATTAATAGGTTATTTTATAGTTTTAGTCATATCAGATGATATTCATTTGGTATTAGACGACTAATGATCACATTGTTTTTTTAATCTAAGCATTTTGTATATGTTTTTGAAATTCTAGTAGTTATAACAATAATAAAATATTGCCTTGACTGAAAAGACAGGAAACATAGCACACAATATATTCAGTCAACACATAAACATAGATAAGTGTGATTATGAACATTAAGTAACATTTTCTCTTTAATAAATTTTTATTAAAGTAATATTTTACACAATTTCATTATTGAGAGAAGTGTTTTGTTGCTGTTGTTCACAAAAATATCTTTTATGAAAGGAAAACCAGTTAAATCTGTCTAAAAGTGCACAAAAACCTTGTGTGCACTCTAAGTATGCAATGTGGTATTGCTGGTGTGAGAAGGTTTGAGAGAAGATTTTAAATTAATATACAAATAATATAACAAACATGTCACTATTGAAATAATTTACCAAAAAGTTACATTAAATATTTATAATAATTTTATAATTTGGGGTTTTGTTTTAGTGCTCAAGGTGGATGCATTTCTCATGTATTGCCAGAATTTTTGCTTGGACCAGAAGATTATAAGAAATGGCTTGAAATTACAGTAAGATAATTTGTAGATATAATCAATACAGTCATTAAATTTACTTATATATGGTCTTTTTTAAAATTAAATTTTTATTTTTTACATTAATTATATTTTTTGCTTTGCATCCTTGCTGTAGCCCCTCCCTCATTCCCTCTCAATCCCACCCTCCCTCCTTAATCTCGTCCCATGCCCCTCTCCAAGTCCACTGATAGTGGAGGTCCACCTCCCCTTCCATCCAACCTAGCTTATTAGGTCTCATCAGGACTGGCTGCAATGTCCTCCTGTGTCTTGGCAAGCTTGCTCCTCCCTAAAGGGGGGATGGTCAAGGAGCCAGCCACTGAGTTCATATCAAGACAGTCCCTGTTCCCTTACTAGGGAATCCACTTGTATACTGAGCTGCTATGGGCTACATCTGAGCAGGGGTTCTAGGTTATATTAATGCATGGTCCTTGGTTGGAGAATCAGTGTCAGAAAACAACAAACAAACAAACCTGTGCCCAGATACATTTGGTCTTTGTGGTGCTCCTGTCCTCCCCAGGTCATACTAACTCCTCCTTCTTTCATATGATTTCCAACACTCTGCCAAAAGTTTGGTTATGAGTCTCAGTGTCTGCTTTGATACACTGCTAGGTAGAGTCTTTCAGAGACCCTCAATGGTAGGCTCCTGTCCTGTTTCTTGTCTTCTCCTACAACCACTGTCCATCAAATTTGTCCTTCTAAGTGAGAGTTGATAATCTTACCCTGGGACCTCCTTCTTGTTTAGCTTCTTTAGGTGTACAGATTTTAGTATGTTTATCCTATCTTATATGTCTAGTATCCACTTATAAGTGAGTATATACCATGTGTGTCTTTATGCTCCTGGAATACCTCACTCAGGATGATCTTTCCTAGAGCCCACCTTTGCCTGCAAATTTCATGATTTCCTTGTTTATAATTGCTGAGTAGTATTACATTGTGTAAATGCACCACAGTTTCTCTATCCATTCCTCCATTGAGGGACATCTGGGTTGTTTCCAGGTTCTGGCTATTACAAATAAAGCTGCTAAAACTATGGTTGAACAAATATCCTTATTGGGTACTTGAGCAAATTTTGGATATATGCCTAGGAGTGGTATAACTGGATCTTGAGGAAGCAGTATTTCCAATTGTCTGAGAAAGCGCCTCAGTGATTTCCAGAGTGGTTGTACAAGTTTACATTTCCACCAGAAAGGAGGAAGGGTTCCCATTTCTCCACAACCTCTCCAGCATGTGTTGTCCCTTGAGTTTTTGATCTTAGCCAATCTGATGGGTGCAAGATAAAATCTTCCAGATGGCTACGGACGTTGAACATTTCTTTAAGTGTTTCTCTGCCATTCTATATTCCTCTACTGAGAATTCTTGTTTAGTTCCGTACCCCATTATTTAATTGGATTGCTTGATTTATTGCTTTTTAACTTCTTTAGTTCTTTATATATTCTGGATCTTAGCCCTCTGTCAGATATAGGGTTGGTGAAGATCCTTTCTGTGTCTGTAGGCTGTTGTTTTGTTCTGATGACAGTGTCTTTTGCTTTAAAGAAGCTTTTTAATTTCATGAGGTCTCATTTATTGATTGTTGCTCTTATAGCCTGTGCTATGGGTGTTCTGTTCAGGAAGTTATCTCCTGTGCCAATGAATTCTGGTCTCTTCCCCACTTTTTCTTCTAACCCATTTAGTGTGTCTGGTTTTATGTTGAGGTCTTTGATTCACTTGGACTTTAGTTTTGTGCAGGGTGATAAATATGGTTCTATTTTCATTTTTCTGCATGTAGACATCCAGTTGGACCAGCACTATTTTTTGAAGATGCTGTCCTTTTTCCACTGAATGGCTTTGGCTTCTTGGTCAAAATGAAGTATCCATTAGTGTATGGGTTTATTTCTGGGTATTTTATTTGGTTCTATTGATCCACCATTCTATTTCTATGCCAACACCATGCCTTTCTTATTACTGTTGCTCTGTAGTACAGCTTGAGATCAGGGATGGAGATATCTCCAGACAATGTGTTGTTGTACAGGATCGTTTTCAAAATTCTGGGATTTTGGTTTCTCCATATGAAGTTGAGAATTTTTCTTTCAAGGTCTGTAAAGAATTGTTTTGGTATTTTGATAGGAATTGCATTGAATCTGTAGATTGCTTTTGGCAGGATGGCCATTCTTAATGTCTTAATCCTACTGATCCAAGAGCACAGGAGATCTTTCCATCTTCTAATACTTTCTTCAACTTCTTTCTTCAGATACTTGAAGCTTTTTTTTCAAACAGGTCTTTCACTTGCTTGGTTAGAGTCAACACAAGGTTCTATATGTTTTAGTGGCTATCCTGAAGAGTGTTTTTCCCTAATTTCTTTCTCAGGCCTTTTGTCTTTGGTATACAGGAGGGCTTCTGATTTTTTGGAGTTAATTTTGTATCCAGTAGCTTTGATAAAGGTCTTCATTAGTTCAAGGAGTTCTCTGATTTAATTTTTGGGGTTGCTCATGTATACTATTATATTATATGTGAATAGTGATACTTTGACTTCTTCCTTTCCAATTTGTATCTACTTGATCTCCTTTAGTTGTTTTGTTGCTCTACCTAGGACTTCAAGTACAATGTTGAAGAGATATGGAGAGAGTGGACAGCCTTGCCTTGTCCCTGAGGTCAGTGGGAGATTTAAGTTTCTCTCCATTGAGTTTGATGCTGGCTCTTGGCTTGCTGTATATTGCTTTAACTGTTTAGATATATGCCTTATATCCCTGATCTTTCCAGGACTTTAAACATGAATGGGTGTTGGATTTTTTTCAAATGCTTTTTAGGCATCCTAAGGAGATGATCATGTGTTTTTTCTCCTTCTGTTTGTTTATATTGTGGATTACATTGATGGATTTCCTTATATTGAACCAACCTTGCATGCCTGGGATGAAGCCTCCTTGGTCATGGTGGATGATATCTTTGATGTGTTCTTTGATTTGGTTTTCAAGTATTTTATTGAATATTTTTGCATCAATGTTCATAAGTGAAATAGGTCTGAAGTTCTCTTTTTTGGTTGGGTCTTTTTTTTTTTTTTATTTTTCTTTTTAGTTACATTTTGTTAACTCTGTGTCCCAGCTGTATCCCGCTCCCTCATTCCCTCCCCAACCCCACACTCCCTCCCTGGTCTCTTCCCTGCCCCTTTCCAAGTCCCCTGATAGGGGAGGACCTCCTCCCCTTTCATCTGACCCTGTTTTATCAGGTATCTTCAGGGCTGGCTGCAAAGTCCTCCTCTGTGGCCTAACAGACTGCTCCTCCCCTGGGGTGGGGGTCAAACAGCCTGCCCTTGAGCTCCTATTAGAAATAGTCCGTGTTCCCCTTACTTTGGAAAACTACTTGGTTACTGAGCTACCACAGGCCACATCCGAGCAGAAGTTCTAGGTTATATCCATAGATGGTCCTTGGTTGAGTGTCAGTCTCAGAAAAGACCCTGTGCCCAGATATATTTGGTCCTTGTGGAGCTCCTATCCTTTCCATATCATACTAACTTCCCTTCTTTCATATGATTCCCTACACTCTGCCGAGGGTTTGGTTATGAGTCTTAGTGTCTGCTTTGAAACACTGCTAGGTAGAGTCTTTCAGATGCCTTTTGTGATAGACTCCTGTCATAAGTTCAATGCACATCCCATTTGTCTTTCTAAATGAGGATTAATCACCTTCGCCTGTGTCCACTTTCTTGATTATCTTCTTTAGGTGTGTAGATTTCTTTATGTTTATCATGTCTTGTAGGTCTATATAAGCGAGTATATACCAAGTTTGTCTTTCTCCTTCTGGGATACTTCACTCAGAATGATCTTTTCTAGATCCCACCACTTGCCTGCAAATTTCATGATTTCTTCCTTTTTGATTGCTGAGTAGTATTCCATTGTGTAAAAATACCACAGTTTCTGTATCCATTCCTCCGTTGATGGACATCTGGGTTGTTTCCAAGTTCTGGCTATTACAAATAAAGCTGCTATGAACATGGTTGAACAAATGTCCTTGTTGTGTACTTGAGCAAATTTTGGGTATATACCTAGGAGTGGTATAGCTGGGTCTTGAGGTAGCACTACTCCTAGTTGTCTGAGAAAGCGCCAGATTGACTTCCAGAGTGGTTGAACCAGTTTACATTCCCACCAGCAATGGAGGAGGGTTCCCTTTTCTCCACAACCTCTCCAGCATGTGCTATCACTTGAGTTTTTCATCTTGGCCATTCTGATGGGTGTAAGGTGATATCTCAGGGTCGTTTTGATTTGCATTTCCCTAATGGCTAATGAGGTTGAGCATTTCTTTAAGTGTTTCTCTGCCATTCGACGTTCCTCTTTCGAGAATTCTCTGTTTAGCTCTGTTCCCCATTTTTTAAGTAGATTACTTGGTTTGTTGCTTTTCTGCTTCTTTAGTTCTTTATATATACTTGATATTAGCCCTCTGTCAGATAAAGGGTTGGTGAAGATTCTTTCCCAATCTGTAGGCTGTCTATTTGTTTTGATGACAGTGTCTTTTGCTTTACAGAAGCTTTTCAGTTTCATGAGGTCCCATTTATTGATTGTTGCTCTTAGAGCCTGTGCTGTTGGTGTTCTGTTCAGGAAGTTGTCTCCTGTGCCAATGAATTCTAGGCTGTTTCCCACTTTTTTTTCCAGCTGATTTAGAGTATCTGGTTTTATGTTGAGGTCCTTGATCCACTTGGACTTTAGTTTTGTGCAGGGTGATAGATATGGATCTATTTTCATTTTTCTGCATGTAGACATCCAGTTGGTCCAGCACCATTTGTTGAAGATGCTGTCTTTTTTCCATTGAATGGATTTGGCTTCTTTGTCAAATATTGAGAATTCATAGGTGTGTGGGTTTATTTCTGGGTCTTCTATGCGATTCCATTGATCCTCCTTTCTGTTTCTATGCCAATACCATGCAGTTTTTATTACTGTTGCCCTGTAGTACAGCTTGAGATCGGGAATGGAGATACCTCCAGATGATCTGTTGTTGTACAGGATCGTTTTGGAGATTCTGGGTTTTTTGTT